ATATCCGGGTTTTAAACCCGTTTCTGTTTTTTGTTTTGTTTTTGCTTTGTACCTCGGCTCTGTATGTGTTCATCTATTCAAATATACCAGGACTGAAAGGACATTTATGTCAACAAACTGCTGAATAAATATAAACAACCTTCAAAATCTTCCAAAATATCGATATGTGGCAATGATACATAAAAAAATTACTTGTTTTATTTCTGTTAGCTAGATCACTCGTGTCCAGAGAGCTTTCCATAAAGTTGTAAACAAAACATGAGTAAAAATCTTAGCTGTTTAGCACAGATTTCAACCCTTTGATGCCACCATATAAAACTATATTCTCATTTCATGAACAGATATTACACTCTCTATTATTTAGATGTTGCATTGGGTGCTTTTAACGGTTAACCTGATCATTGGGATCAAACACATACATTAATGTATCTCTAAGTAACAGGTTGAGTTATTAGAGAAACATTGTAGCCGATATTTAAAATGAGCAGCACAGAAATAAGAAAAACCACAGTTGTTTTGAAGTGCTGTGTCAGTTATTTTTCATAAACCGGCAGTTTTATAGATTAAAAGAACCTTTAAGTTCATAACCTATTATATCCATTTGACTATAAAGAATTAAAAATCTGACACGCATTGATTAACAACATAAATATGAATTGATTTGTTTCAAAGCACAAAAAGCAAGTGGTGCTGTAGGCCTATAAATAACCCCAAGTCTTTTATAAGCATATTTTACCTGCGGTTTTAATGCAACTAAAACATTTATTTCAATAGTGGCGCAAGGACTGATCATCTATAAATTCAATGTAACCCATCAGTTTCTCCCGGCTAACATATTAATTTGTCTATGACACAAATCCTCCCTAGTAATAAACTGAATACATTTGCTTTTTTAACAAACTTACACAACATAATTATCCAACCCATTCCAACAATAGAGCCACTATTATATATCAACATAAAAAAATAGAAAATAAATTTAATGTTTTACCACATGTAATCCTTCCTATCAAGTTCTCTAACGTTAATTTTTAAAGTATAAAACCCTGACAGGAATAAATTCTGTCTGCCTGACAAGTCTTTTTCCTCTTAGATAAAAAAAAAAGGATCTTCAAAGTGAGTGCACTTGTAATCTTACCCGAGTGGTCTCTAAAGCTCTGACAGCCATAACAACCTGTGTGCTACACCTGCAGAGTGCCCTCCCCCCACCTCCCTGCACCCCCACCTCACCACTTTAAAAACCACTCTAAAAGCATCCACCTTCGTCCTCCCCACTGAGTCAGACAGGACAGAATCAGAGGAAAACACAGCTTCACCAGACCAAACCACTACCTCTTTCAGCCAAAATACCAGCTTGAGAGAGAGAGAGAGAGAGAGAGAGAGAGAGAGAGAGAGAGAGAGAGTGCAGGCGAAGGACAGGCTTGGTAGTGGGAAAGGGAAGGGGGTAGGGCAAAGGGGGGGCTCAATCACTCTGTGGGAGGCAGAGAATGAGGGAGAACGGCATAGTACTGGTGTTGGCTCAGAGCCATGTTTGTGTCACTAACAGAAGTGGCCTTGTCTTCCCCAACTCAGCCCTCCTCCCCCACGCCATGCACCAACTCTCTCCTGCTTTGCCTGGATACAGAGTCAAGGGGTGACCGGCTGGATGCTTGGTAACAGAAGAGAGGAGAAAAGGAGGGAATCAAACACGGCTCAGAGCGGGAGCAAAAATCAAAAAGAAGGATAGAAGAGGAAAAGCCCCTCAATGGCAGGGACTGTTTTTGGGAATGTTGATGAGGCAAAGAGCTTTTTTTTTTCATCCTTTTTTGGATCCTCAAAGTGAACCAACAGACAGCAACTGTGGATGTGTGGGCGATTTGTACTCAGCATGCCCGCAGAGCGGCTGAGCGCCAGCTGCTTTGAAGATTCATTATTTGCATTATTTCACATGCACAACAGGAAGGGAAAAAAATGTTGAGCCGGGTTTCTCAGATCCAACAGAACCTGATAATGATACTGATACATCTTAAAATTAAATAAGCTCAATGTGGTTTCAATCAAAGGCTGGGAAAGAGAGTGAATAAGATTTCACTCAGATTGCACCGCAGGAGATGAGCCAACTCTATTCCCAACTGGCAGGATTGCAAGAAGAAACAAAAAAAAAAAAAACAAATAAAAAAGCACACACACACACAAACACAGCTTTGTTATAGAGGCATGATGTTTTCTAGTAGATATCTCTGTGCAACAAACTCATCTACACACTCGCTGGCAGGAAAAACAAATCAAGGCCACCTAAGAACTTGTTGCCAACTTCTGCCAGGCAGTATAATGCAGTATGTGCTGTTAAAGCACAAACTGGCACCACCACCATTTCCAGATTTCAAAAGGAAACATATAAACAGTAATGACATAAACCTTTAAAAAGAAATTCTTTGATATATTACATAACAGCCACCATGTACACTTAGGACAGAAGTTTGCATACAATTATCTTTGGCTTGACCATTTTAATTCCCTGCCTTTATTGACGAATGTCTTAGAATAATCTACACATTCATGATTAAGGCTATGTTACAAATTCTAAGGTATTTCTGACGTGTTTTCAATCATGCAGATTAAATTAAATTAGGATGATCAAAAGCCTACAGATCTAGCTAAAACATTGGTGTCTCTTAAATCAGAGAAAAACTGTTTCTCATTAAGATGGATGTTAAGGCTGTTTACCAAGATGGGCATTTGTGCTCTAAAATCAACATGCATCAACATTTACAGCAGCCCTTACAAATAGGCATAATGTCCACGAGGTATTTGGCATATTCTGGTACAGTAAAGGTGAAGCTTTTATCTGTACGAGCATGGTGGTGGTGGTGTTTTAATGTGGAGCTGTTAAATGCAGAATCATTATCGGTTCATTATGCAAATTCAAAGGTAAAGTTTTTCTTTCGCATGCATGGCCTGCCATTTTCCCAAGGTCAAAAATTAGCTTGCATCTTTTTAAGAAAGTTTAGTCTACTGGCTCTATTGGTCAGCTCATTAGTGAGATTGGAGTCGAATTCCCTGGTGTATTTTTGATGACTTGCTGTGTGCTCTTAAGGCTAATTTATGCTTCTGACGCATAGCCTCTGCAACCGTCAAATCTGTCTCTGTGCAAAAAAAACCAACACGACTACGTGTCGGACGCTCGCAAACCTGAAGACAAAAAGCAGCAGTGGTTGGTCCTTGATTTTTAAACACCGAGGAACAACTACATTGGACAATTATGACGAAAGGTTAATCTGTCTTTTTGTCAACTATGTTAACAGAACCTGTTCCTCTTCGATAGCAACTCTAGATCCATCTATGTGACCGTGATATCTTGCAGATGCGCTATTGTTGTTTTGGGGAAAAACACGGCGCCGCCTGAGAAGTTCTCGTGACCATCTGCCAAAGTTCTTGAGAGTACTCGAATAGGCTCCCCCTTGCGCTTTGGTGGGAAACTGCAGTGTATCCCTAGAAGTTCCAGACCGATGGTGCAGAAGCATACCAGCAAAAAACAGGACCCAAGCAACATTTGATGTTTGCGGTTGCAGAAGTGTAATCTGCCTCTCATTCACCAAGCTACTTTGTGGAGTCTGCTGCTACGGCTTGCATTAGCAAAATAAAAGTTTCTAGAGATGAATCACAAATGACCACAATTGCACCTCAAACCTCATCAGACTCCAAACATGAGTAAGAAGATTTTATTTTTGCCTTCTGCTGTGAAGAAGGACAAACTGGAGTCTGAATATGACGAGAGTAAGTTTTAGGGGATATTTCTAATAAGTGGCTAAATGTTTTCTTTGACAGACAAGGTAAAAAAAATAAATAAAATCCATCATAAACTACTTTTTATTTAAAAAAATATAATTAAACCTCAAAAGCTTTTATCTCCATTCATTTTAATAAATATCCAACGAGAACAAACAGAACAGAGAATCCACATCAACAAAATGAATATGTACATTTTCCTCTGGAGTGCCACAAACTCTGGCTGTGGTCTCAGGAACAACATATCGTCTTAATGATAAAGTTAAACAATTGACCTAAAACGACATCACACCTCTAAGTAAATAAACTGTATTCACAGCTAAAGACAGGGATTGCTAAGGCCTTTTGCAGTTGCTCTTTGTTCATTCTGATCCTCCATCTGGATTGAAATAATTTGTGGAAGGATGCTAACATTAGCCCACCTTGCTATCACCACAATTCCAACTATCAGGGGCTCACCTGCAGGCAGTCCGTAACATATGCAGGTTATGCAGCTTTTCCTACCCATTGTGTAAGAGACAGAGAAATTATGGTAAAGATGGCCATGACACACTTCCTATATAGCAAATGCTACATCCTCATGTGTTAAAGGTAGAGCAAATGAAGAGGCATAGATAAACACAAGCCAAACTACAGTGTGTGAGGAAAAAAAAATGGGACTAAGCGGGCTCCTTTTAATTCCTTTTTTTACAGCTATAAATAATTAAAACATTTATTTAAAATCTATTTTAGAAGGATTGTAAAGGTAAAATACCAGGTTATGACCCTCTTCCCTTATCACCAGGGTGGCCAAACATGCAGAGAACTTTAGTTATGCTGCTTTAAAGCTTTCCTCCACTTTCTCTCTACTTAAACTCTACTCAAAAATTTGACGATTGGTCGAACTATGGATAGAATTGGGTCCACGAGGAGGACAACAATTCAAACCACACATCATACCAGCTTTTTAAATAAACAGCTTCTAGTCGCTTTTTTCTTAAAGTCTACTATAGTGAAAATTAAAAACCTAGGTACCATACTTACAGGGCAGTTCAACACCACTCGATAACTGAGCTCTGCTGTTATACTGAGTCTAGTCTAATTGCTCAAGTGCTTTGTTAAAGAACCCAGTTAGGTTCATCCCCCAACATTTCACAACTTTGCTTTTGAGCAAAAAGGGAAAAAAATAGCAGAACTAATGTGTTTCACAAGGAAGAGATTTTCTGAGTATTATGTTAAACCACTTCTCTTACCGTCTTCAGTTTCTTGCCACACAATGCCTTCAAGGTTCACGCTGGTGCCAGGCTCGCACGGCCCCAAGCACTCGGGTTCTGTCGCCAGGGCCACGTCGGACGTGTTCACCGCCACAGAGCGCGTGCGCACCATTATCTGCTCACATGGCGAGGCGATTTCGCTGTTGCCGACCGCAGCCAGAAGGTGGAGGGGAGGAGGAGCTGGCGTGGAGACGGGAGATTCCATCTGTGGAGAAGGACGAGGAGGTTTGAGACAGGAGAAAGGAAGACGTGACACACTTTAGAACGTTCTTTATGATCCCATACAGAGCTGATGCTGAGTATTATCCCACAAAGAAAGGAAAAGAACAGAAATTCTGCTGTTTCTTTAAGCCTTTATAAGAGATCCTCTACAGAAAAAAAAACTAAGTGGTTCATTGTACCACTGTGTCTTTCCTTCCTTTCTCCCCAACCTCAGAGGTGATTAGCAGACAGAGAATGAAGGAACTGCCTCAACCACCTCTGTGGAAGGACAGAATTAGAAATGCAGGGTCGGGGCAAACATCCCCCCCACCCCCAAGCTTTCCTCCCTCACACACAGCAGAGCTAGATCCATGACACCAAATCATCTCACACGCTGATCGCTCATTAATTCTCTCTATTAAAAAGCTAGTTGTGGTAAGGGAGTAGGCCTCTGAGGGTCAGTAATTGATTTCACCTGCTCTGACACGCTGTGACAGCAACGAGACGACAGCGGGTCCGGGTGGAAAAGGAAAATGAAAAGGACAGCGTGGCAGGGACACTACGAGAGCAGCCAAACTATAAGCAGGAAAAGCTTGGGGACAAAAAACTAAACAAAACAGACACAGAGAATAACACCGATGATCATTTTAGGACTGCTTTGCCACCACTCTGGGTTCTCTTTATTCAAGGCAGTCAATAATAAAGCGCTCCAAATAATTAGCAGTGAGCTGCAGGAGGAATGCCAGGCTCCAGCCAGCAACGAGCATTTATTAATTGGGCATAAACCACTCAGTGCTCCAGAATATGCTGCCAACGCTGAATCCAATTACGCTTAGATGACAAAACAACAACTGACACAGTAGATTATCAGCCGGCAAAGCCTTTAAATTAATGTTTGCAGAGTGCTTAGGGAACCAAAAACTTAAAGCACTTGCTCCTGAATATGAAGTTTGATACCTTTAGGCAAGTCAGGGAGGACAGAACTTTCGACACAGAAACAGACAGATTGACACCAACTTCATTCGGTGGGTTTTACTGATTGTTTACTGGATGAACAGGCACCAACTGTACATCTGGGATTCTCTGATGTTTCTGATCCACTGTCAACTACACTGTTTGCTTAGAAGCAGAAACTCGAGTAACTATACAAGTTTCTGCTTCATTTATTTTTTGGTAGAAAGTGTCATGATCCTCGCTTAGGAAAAAAACACAGATTATACAAATATTCTGTGTGGATTGCATTAGTTATACCATAATACGTCTAAATCCACGATGACCAGGATAGCTTGGAAACCAAACATTGATTGTTGATTTAATTTAATACTAGCTCATAAGGTTTGTTGCTTCATAGCTTTCTGATGTGTGTACGGATGGTTCATTTTTACTGGAGCTCAAAAGGAAGAACAAGTGCTGATGAAGTCTGTTCTGGGAATTTGCTGGCTTCAGTGAGGGAGAGAAGTCAGCCACAAAGGGCTAAAAACAAAATGGCCCACCAAGCCTTCATTTTTCTCAGTCTTCCTCAGTTTACCTGCTACAGCACAGCTGATTTACATTGATAGTTGATTAACTATCAGGGTTTTGCTGAACTGCAATCATGGGAATCAGCTGTGCTAAAGAAGGGAAACCTCTAAAACCTGCAGGACAGCGGCCCTTGAGGACAGACTTTGGGGATGCCTGATTTAGAGTGACAGCATAAAGCAGGGATGAGCAATCCCAGTTCCTGGGTGCCGGTATCCTGCAACTTTTAGATCGACCCCTGGTCCAACACACCTAATCAAATGGGTGGGATACCTCCTCAGTATGCAGCCAGTTCCTCCAGAGTCGTTTTAATCACCTAATTATTTGATTCAGCTGTGTTGAACCAAAGGCACATCTAAAAGTTGCAGGATACCGGCCCTCAGGAACTGGAAATGGCCACACCCACTGCATAAAGTAGAAGATAAAAGCAGACTAAGCTTTCTTTAAGTCAATCAAAATATTCAGCTGATGCTCTGAGCATTAGCTGCTGGTTGATTTGTCCTTTCATTATATTTGTGTCTTTGTAGTTTGGCTCCTTATATTGCGATTCCAAAATCATGACAGTGAATCGGTTCATAACCTTTAAGTTAATAAACATTTTATAACACAGTCTACTTTAACAAATGAGAATCCATTAAATTATAGATACCAAAGAGAGGTTACTTAGAGGTACTTTGGTCGGTCATACTGGGTCATACTTCACATGGGACTAAGAATATTAAGAAGTTAGAATGATGTTGAATGTAAAGTTTAAAATAAGGTACCCTTGAAAAAAAAAAATTATATTTAGATTAAAGCATTTTTAGGACCATCAATATCACAAAATTAATTGCCTGGTAAAAAGAAAGATAAACATGGCTGTGATGGCCAAACTTATGGCCACACCTTAGAAGTCTGTACTGCACATGCACCTTTATTAATCCAAAGACATACTTTAGTTTGCAATATGGCTTTATTCTTAGTTCAAATACATGTGTTCTATTTGTAAAGGTGCACATTTAGTTCACTGTACTTGTACGCATTCATTCATATTTCTTTGTGTGTTTTTGTCACTAATCTGTCTCCTACCTTCCATGGTGTCTAGGAGTTTGGCCAAACAAAAGATGGCAGCCAGGGCTCAGATCTGCTAAATGCAGGAGGGGAAACTGGACTTTTCCATCAGCTGCTGCTAGAAGGGGGGAATTAGAATTTTCCTTATTTTTCTAATTTTTGCATTTTCACTTAGGATTTGTTTTGCGGTTGGTGTGTTTTCATTTTTTTAAGATGTAGATTAGTTTATTGCCAAACCTAACTGTACTGCTGTGTTTTGTAATTTGTGCTTGTTTGGTTAGTTTAAATTACCGCAAATCTGTTAATGGTCTATCAGCTAGTATATATATATACCCTTGTGTGTCATTTCTTTGTTAAGTTAGTTATGTTTGTTTATGCAGTCAGTTAGTTTATAGAGTTAAATTTTCTCTTTTCTGTTGACCTCTTTAATGACTTGAACCCATGTATATTTTGCAAGTTTCTTTTTTGGGGGGTTAAAAATAAAAACCCAATTTTGTATTAATCCCTGTGACTCCTCATGCTTTTTACCTCGGTCCCTCACAATGGCTCACAGCAATGATAAAATGCATAAAATAGAAACAGGAAGGGACAAAATGGTTTTACCAAGGTGAAAATGGGATCACAAATTATTTAAGAGTTTAACCGAACCCCTGCCTCAGTTGAATCAGACAAAAATTTAAGGACGCGGTTGATTTTGCTTTTTCAGTTTTAAACTAAAGGAATCAAATTAGATTTTGTCATTATCATTAGAAACGTTCCCTGCAGCCTTGGTTAAAACCTCAGTAATTTAAACTTGTGATTTCTACTTTTTTGTGTGCTTTGAATTAGCTGTATTAAAAATAAAGAAATCCGATTAAAACACATAACAGCAAAGTGCTTTAGATTTATGAATAATTAACTATAAAACAGTTTTCAGTTTGATTGTCTCAGCAGCCCCTACATAGGAAAAACTATAATCGAACTGACCAGCTCCATTCTGAACCCAAAAGTCTGGATCACAGTCTAGACCAATATCTCAAGAATCGGGAAATAATCACATATAGGATAACCTTTCTCACCTTCTGTACCTTTTTAATCAGGTTATATATGCTTTTTTTATGGTTGTTATCCCCCTTTAACAATATGATAGGGAACAAATTAAGGGTTTGTGACCAAGGGTTTGCAAAATATGCATTTTCAGTGAGTTGGTTGAATAAAAGCAAAACTGTCAATAGAGCGATGGATGCGTAAATCCGTCACATTGCATTAACCAATCTGGGACTGGATATGATTCAGAAGTAGGTGGAACAAGGGCCGGGCAATTAATTGCATTTGCAGTATAATCACAATGTAGAGAAATGTAATTTACAAATCACAGAAACACTTAATTTTAAATCACAATACGTTTAACAAGAGCAATACTCTAAATTTCTCCCTCTAGCCCTTTAGGTGGCGGTAATATGAATAAAGTGGGCATTCTGTTGCACAAAAGAGCACAGAGGGTTGCAGCTAGCACCTAGATCAACGCTTTATAGTCGAAGTAAGAACTTTTTTGTGCAAATGTTACAGTAAAGTCCTGCAACACTGGATTCTGGACAAGCAGGCTTTCAAGGTCATAAAAATCCTGAAACCCTGTAAATCATTGACACGCTTGTGTTTGGTGCAAAGAAAAATCGCAATAAAGTCGCAATATTGGTAAAGAATAACTGCAATTTTGATTTTTGGACAAACCATTCAGCCCTAGCGTGAACCAGAGTAGCTGAGATAAAACTTTTATCCCTCAAAAGCTCAATTTTTGTCCTAATTTTATTACATTTCCCCTAATTATTTCCATTAATGTTGCACTAAATTTTACTGTATAATCTTAAAACGGTCTCTTTGAAATGCTCAACTTCTAATAAAATTCTAATCATAATGTCAATGTATTCAAGTCGTAGAATTTTCCTAACAAACTCACAGACAACATTTGAATAGGATTCATTAACTCGACACAAATGGAAGGTAACAACGCTATTTACACGGAGAGTCGACATGAGAGTGAAAAGAAGGATTTCCATCCTTTGGGTTGGAGGGTATACACAAACAGCAAAGTGCTCAACGTTTGGCTTGAGGTTTTGAAAAACCACAAGCAACTGAACTACAGAGCTCATAAGATTATAAGGCTTCACCCAACGCTCCAGTCTATGCCAAATTCCAAGATTTCTTCCCCTCCTTGCAACACTTGACAGACGGATTTTCTAAACCACAATGCCTGACTGTCACGCAATCTCTCTCTAAACTGAATCCCCGTGCCAACCCCCCTCGAGAAAGCCACACTGGGAAAAATAATGTTTAACACACTGGGCCTGGAGCTGTGTGTAACCAGTGCTCTGACTGAAGGGGAATTCTGCCTGGATTTCACACAATAACCCCAACAGCAGTAAACGGAAACATACTTAGCCATAACTGGGCACAGTA